TGGAAATTTATTAAGACTTAATTATTGTTTCGTAAATCAAAAAATAAAATATATTTTATTAAAAGGATAGTAATTCATGTGAAAACTTATATCATGAAACAACTGAAGCATTATTGTGGAAAAAAACTATTTAGAGTAGAGGGAGATTTAATAAAATAGATTCAATTATACAGTTATAAATGAATTCTTAGAATTGGTTTAATTTTATATCTTAGGTCATAAATAAATGATGCACAAGATACTGAACAATATAAAACTTGCCTTTAGAAATTAACATATTTAAATAATAAACTTATATTTAAGAAAATATTAATATAATAAAAATATAATCATGAAAATCATTCAATCATTTTTTGTAAAAATGTTTGGTGTTTTTATGCTTGTTTAATTAATAATTCAATTAATTCTATTTTTCTTTTAAATATGTACTATTTTGATTCCCTAATTTATAAAACAACTAAAATAAATTAATAAAATGTGCTGCATGCATTTGATATTTTTGATGCTTAAACTTCTGAAATTTACCTTATTGTTTTTATGTATGTTAATTAGCTCTCATTAATTTTCCCAATATCTAAACTATGGAGTGAATTCACGTAGTTAAAATTTCCTATTATTTTTTAACATTCTTCCCAACTCTATTATTCGGGTTTAAAAGAGTGATCTAAAAGTACACAGATTATTATTATCACCTTTACTAATATTGTTGGAGGATTACGAGTTCTTTTTAATTCCACTAAATCTTCCTTATTCAATTTATATAATTTATCAAGTGCATTGTTATATTCCTCAATTAAACTTTAGCAATTTGTTTATTCAGTGTTTTATATAGTATAAACTTAAATCTAATGATTCAAATTAAGTATAATTTAATTAATATGATTTATCCTAAAGGGAATCATTTATATAACTGTTTGATTGGCTCTTTTACTTATTAATCTAAATCTTAGATAAGATTTTATGTCTAAAAATATTAATATTTAGTTAAAAACTTCAGGTCTTACTTTATGAAGCAGATTTTGTGAAACTTGTGAATATTTTATGATTTGTAATTGATCATTAATTATGCTTCCAAATCTGAGATATAAGTTTTAAAGTCCTTATTATTGTTCTTTATTATTTTTTGTCAATCGATTTAAGTCTTCCTAAAGTTTTTATATCATAGTATAATGATTTTATTATAATAAAGTAATTAAACAATATAATATCTATTGTAATTCCTTTATTTTAATAAATTATCTAGGTTAAATTTTCCAATTTTATGTAGAGTACTAAATCTATTAATTATTATCAAAAAGGAAAAGCAAATATATTTGAAAACTCTTCTTTGAAAAAAACTATTTAGCAAAACATAGAAAAGCGTAATTTGGTATTAAAAAGCAAAATCTAAAATTGAAATTATAAGAGAGAATATAAATATTAAAAGCAAATAAGATTACACTAATGTCAATACTTCAAAATTACAAACGATTTTTTAATATATTAAAAATCCTGATTTATAGATAAAACTAAAGGGAGGAAATTCTATTCGCAAATGAAGAACGATCAGTTGAACTAATGAAAAAAATGAGTTATTATTTAACTATTTGCATACATAATACTAGAGTACTTTCTTTTACCTAGTTATCCAATCTAAATGCAAGTATTACACAAAAAATATTAAATCAATCAAAAAAACTAAGTAACTTGCTATTTACTCCATTAATCCGAAAAAGGAGGTTTATTCAAAGTAAATGTCGTAAAATTTCATTGACTTTAGGATTAATGAGAAAATAACTTCAAAATACTTTCAATGAGACTTTTTATTTATTTTTCAATTCATATCTAAATTTTTGTTAAAATACTCATTAAAGAATTCTTTTATAATTATTTAGATCTGGTTATTTTTTTTTTAATTTGAATCTTATCAATATAAAATAAAAAATATAAATATTTAGAAATTAGGTAAGAATATATCATTTAGATGGAATTAAAATAAATATATTTTAAATTTCCTATTCATGTGATTTTAATTAAATTTATTTATAATATAATTTAATAATAATTAGAAATAAATATAATTTATTTTATATAATGGTTGGCCACAATATATGCCAGATTTCTAGAAATCACAGAGAACTAGATTCATCCACTCAAATAATCTTATTGTTCTGAAATACATACTCATTCTAATATTTCCAATTGATTTGGATAAAAATAATATTGAGAATGACGAATAAATATTTACTCATTGCACATAACATCAATTACATGTGATTTGCTGGATATATTTGATTGATTTTTTATATTTTTATCCTTATAACTCTATTTAGTCTGCATAATAGATAAATTTGTTATTTCTGGTTTCTGAGTATAGAGAAAAATTAACATTTATCTTTTAATTTTAAAAGGATTGAAGTAATTATATGACAAAAACTATTTGATAAGATGTTTAAATTTTTTTTTTCTTTATATGTTTGGAATTAATTTAAATTTCTTTATAAAAACTTAAGGTTTTTAATTATCTTTCTTTAGATGATTACTACTATACTTCAATATTCTAACTGTAAACTACATAAATTAAATAATCTAATGACCAAATTAAATTGGATTATCCTAAAAATTAGAGAAAGTAATTAAAAATATTCTTTCATATTAAAACTTGTTATAGGTATTGAGAGGATATCGATGAACAAATTTCAAATTCTTATATAAGATATAAAATATTATTAAGTAGAAAGTCAAGGGAGAAAATTCATTTTAAATTTCCTCATAATCAGCAAAATTTTTCATAAGAATCACGAACATTTTTTCATTGAAAAAGAAAACGATTACTCAATGGCAGCAGCTTTTAATTATCAATAATGATTGTAACTCTATAGTATATTTTGATAATTTAATTGAGTATGATTAAATCAAGAAAAATTGTTAATCCTAAAGAGAATTTTTTTATTCACACCAATTGGACATTAGGATTGGCATTTTAATTACCTAATTGTTTAAGATAGAAATCATCCTATTATATATTGCAATCTAACTTAAAATAATAAATCCTATAAATCATAATTCAATTTGATAATTGAAACAAGAATGCATCTTATCAACTAGTTCTTATATCTTTGACCATATTCTTTAAAATATATCAGCAATTTAAGCTCTTCATAAAATAATTACTTTTCTAATTAACAAATAATTAAAATCATTTATAAGTTAATTTTATTAAGTATATAATATTTAATTAGTTGATCTAATTTAATGATATTTTTTATTTTATTTAAACATTAATTATTTTAAATATAAAGTTCTCATTGATTAGTATTTAAACCATCCTTTTAAAATAATATACAGAGAACTTTATGGTTATTGAATTGTTATTGTTGAGGTTTAAGAAGAATTTGGAAGCTAAACTTAGAGTAATTAGTATAATTTTTATTTTTAGATGAAACATTATAACAGATTGGAAATCAAAATACAATAATGATGTTAATTACCAGTTCAGGTATAAGATTTTATTAATACTTCCAACACAAAAGCATATGGTCAAAAAAAAAATTAACTTTATTGGCTTTTATTTTTTACTTAAATAATTTATTGTATTATATATAAATCGATTTATATACAAATAAAATTTGTTCTTGTTTAGAATAAATATACTTAAAATATAGAGACAAATTTCTCAGAAAAAATTTTTTTTTTTTTATTTAAAGTTTGAGAATATAATTTCAATAATTTTAAAAAGTTTGAAAAATTTTTTCTAAAACTCTTTTTCAATTTAATGGTCACAAAATTCTTTTGAATATCCATTAAAAGGAATTCAATGTTGATAAAGAATTGTTTATACAATGGCTTATGCCATTTAAATTGCCAAGTAACCACAATTCAACTTAATAGTATCAAAACAAGTTTAGAAATTCCATGTTTTAAATAGAGATAAAGTGCATATTATGCCTTAAAGGGGGGTTTTATAACTAAATTAATAATAATTATAACAGATCAAAGTTTTATCAATTTTAATTTAATATATAATCAATGAAGATTTTGATACATCTTGTGTGTTTGATTGTCTCTAAGTCACTTGAAATCTAGCCATTAGATTCTGAATATCAGGTTGCATATCAATAAGTAAAGATTGATGATGATAACTTTCTGCCAAATAAACTTTTTACCTTTGGTTTATGGTAACGATATAATCCTTTAAGTACTATCTCATAAGTTGGAAAAATTGGAATGTTTGGTAGTAATTGCTATCATTTATTAAATATAATTGATACAATAAGTGATGAAATAAATATGATTTACTACGATTGTTTGGATTATGAAACAAAAACAATTACAAAGTTTGTAAAATTTGTAAATTATGCTGATGAATAGAAAATATTCATTATTGATATAGAAGCATTTAAATATGAGAACTTTTGGTATTTTTTAGAAATAATATAATACCCACTTTAATAAAGATTTGAAATTTTAATAATATCCCAAGAATAAATAAAAATACATACAATTGATAAAATGAAATATCCATTTCAGGGTTATAATCTTATGTTTACTTATGGAAATAGTTTGATTGTAAGTAATTCTAGAATAGAATCGTTGTTAAAGGGAGAAAGATTTTCTTATTTTCCAGGAAAAATTATAATATAAAAGTTTAATGTTATTGATCAATTAAATGATTTTGATTGGTATGAATATGTTAAAGGCATATTTATGATGTTTGAATACTGTTTTTGTATGCCTAATTTTAGTTTTAAAATTGCAGATTAAAATATTAATTAATAATTAAAAGGTGAATATGTTTCAGATAATTTAAATTGTGATTCTTTTGTTTTATAAGGATGGTTTAAAATATAAGATATCATTAGTGAAGACAAAGAATTTGTTTATCCATTTATAAAATTGGCTGCAAACTTTTAAAATCCAAATTTATCAAATGATAACTTATCGCCTATTTAAATTAAATATAAATTGTCTGATATTTAAAATTAAATAATAGTAACAAGTTATAGTTACACTTTTCCATAAGTTACAATAGATTTTACCAATAATCCTTTTCTAATTGAAAAAATTTTTGATATTGTTAATAGTATAAAATTATGGTAAAAAATATAAGTAAAATTGCTTTATGGTATATTGGATATATAAATTAAATTTTATGATAATTAAATGATATATGAATATAATCATTAAATAGAAGTTTATTAATTTTAACAGATTTAATTTTATTTATAATATGGAAATTTTGAGAAACTTGAAACAAATTATTTGAGTTTGTAAATAAGAAACTTATATTTATAAAATTGTGATGTACCTTTTTCAGAGATGAATTGTCATTAAAGTTGTTTAGAATGTGATGGACCAACAAATGAAGATTGTTTATCTTGTTCAGAAGAATCATTGAGAATTTATTTACCAGAATATAAAATATGTGTCTGTCCATATAATACAATAGATGATTAAATATGTGTGAGTTATATAGAGGCAAATTTATAATTAATTGAAGAACCTTACATAGATAATGAATGTCAATATGGTTATTTTGAATTAAATAATGAATGTATTCACTGGTAAATTAAAATTTAATATATTTAGTCCTTCATTGATAAGAGATGATTTAATTACTTGTTTAGAATGTATTTAAAACCCTAAGACTTTTTATAAATTTCCATATTGTTAATATGATTTATACTTAAGTAAATCTCATAAGACAGACAAAGTTATGTTGAACACATCTGACTAATTACTCTTTGATGGCGCTGATTTCAGTGTTTATCAATGTATTATATGTTCTACTGTAATATTAACAGATTAAAATCTGTTGTATGTTGACTTTACTTTAAGACAGCTTACATTTAGGAGGTTGTGCTAAAATGATTACAATTAATGTTATTAACTAATTTTTACCTCCTGTAAAGGATATCATATAGATATGACTGGTTAAAAATGTATATCTTGCGAATAAGGATATATATTAGAGAATGGATTATGTATTTCATTCTCTCTTGGGTAAGAGTATTTTTGTCATTCTCCTTATTATATAACCTCCAAAAAATAATGTGATTTATGTCCAATTAAAAATTGTATCTATTGTTTTGAATATTAAAATGAAGATTCGAATTTTTTTTATAGCACTTTATTTAAAAATTATAAAGAATTTGATATCGATTAAGAAATAAAAATAGGTTGTGCTATGTGTGAATAAAACTTTGTTTTTGATTTTACAATTGGAAAATGTTTAAAATAATAAACAAATATTTAAAATTGTTTGAGATCATTTATAAATTTAGATGGTACTGAACTATGTACATTATCTTCCATACAAGATTTTAGTATTGCTCCTGAAATAATAAATTGTTAGAATTATTACTCTCATTGTTTATAATGTGTTCTTACTCCTTAATCAAAAATATAATGTGTTCTATGTAGTGAAGGATATGTAAACTCTTTAATAACAGGGAATTGTTATATAAGTTATATGAATTTTTTGTAAGTAAATGCAACTACTGTAGTATAAGGAGAGTATGATTAAATAAATGGGGAAGTTATATTCATATAAAGTTTTATGATGTAATTTTTACCTGATTAATATTACTATCCATATTCTTCAAATTTAATTGAATTTTAAATTAAATGTAAAGAGGGATATGGAGTGACAATTTTTTTCTATTGTCAACAATATTGTAGTAAGGATTGTTAAAATTGTAAACAAGATTTTGAGTTTTTCATTTGCTCTGAATGTTCTTTAAATTATTATAAAAAACCTTAAAAATCTGAAGAATGGGGACAGTGTATATCCTGTTCTAATTTATGCCAATATTGCTAAATTAGAGATGATAATGAAATATAAGTAATATCTTTAAAATATTATACTAGGTTATACAATAGAATTTTAATGTACAATAATCCAATGTCAAATATACTAGAAAATGTGTTGTCCCTATTAAAGATCCAAATATAATAATCAATCCATATCGTTATAATGTTAAATACTGCTTTAATAAAAGTTGTTAGAATAGATTCTCCTTTTATCTTTATTTTGATGGTTGCATGCTTGATAGATATTAGCCAGAAAGTTATGAAAATGAAATAAATATCTAATATTGTAATCATGTTGGAGTAGATTTCATGATCATAAATTATGTTTTTAAACTTTTAAATGATAATGAATGTTCATTTTTTAGAGAATTAGAATTGCTGACCAGCTTAAAGAAAAAGATTTTTTCTATGAAAAAAATTGGAATGTCTCTCTCCTCAATTTATAATACTAATTTTATTACTGTTAATTTTACATACATTACCAATTTTGATTTAGTAGATATAAGTAACATTACTTTACAATTAAAAGATGGCTTTAGTATTTAAAATAACAACAATAAAGTTGATATAACATTAAATAATGTGGTGCTCAATAATTGTAACTTTTTTGATGAATTAGTTTTCCAAACTTTTTTATTTGGCAATATTAAGATGCAAAATGTTTAAATTTTAGATTCTAATTTTACGAATTCATCTTTGTTTGATTTTTTATCATCATCAATACCAACATCAATTACAATTTATAAATTATAAATTACAAATAGTATTTTCAATAACTCAATGTTGTTCAATTTTAACAACAATAATTCAATGATAAATATTTAAGAAATTGTTCTTAAAAATTGTTAAATCTTGAATTCATAAATTTTTTCCTTCAATACAAATTTGAATTAAGCAAATTAAATTAATTTATTTGGAGTTGAAATAATTGGATGTAATTTTTAATTTTCCTAATTTCTCAAAAGCAACAATAGGTTTGAATTATATGCAAGTAATCTTTACTTCTATGATAATAATCTATTTAAATCTGTAATTATAGCTTTTAATGATAATACACAACTAAAAAATGTGAAAACTAGTTAAAATATTCTTATAGGGTCTTCAATTTTATCTACTTTGTAAATAGTAAACTAAGAAAAAGTTATATTCATGATTGATGAATTTGAAGATACTTAAAGTACTTTTTAAGAATCAAGTTTAATAATTATTTATTCTTTCCTTTCAACTAATGATTTCTTTGTTCAAATAAAAAAAATTACTGTTTAGGAAAATAAATTAGTTGATACATCATATCAACAAAATTAACTTTTTAAATTTCATTCTCGTTCTTTATACATTGAAAATTCATCATTTTTAAATTTGAAAAATGTAATTGTCTTTTACATTTTTGAGACATATGAAATAATTTTTGATTTTTTAAATTTTGAAAATTCATAATAATAAAATAAAGTCCCAATATCTTAATTTTGTACTAATTCTATATAAGTACCAAATTAAGTACTATAAGTAGCTGGTTTTCAGCAATTATCATTATCTAATATTAAAATTATCAATCAATTTATTATTAATTATTCATTATTGGATATAGCATTTAGTAAATACTTTTTTTTTTAAATAATTGGACAGGTAAGATTAACTAATATATACTTTAAAGGAAATATCTAATTAAAAAACATATAAGCAACTTCATTTTCACTATTTAGTTTAAATTCTTAATACAATCTAAATATTGAATTAGTAAATTTTTAATTTATTTAAAACATCATCAATTAATAAATAGATGAACCATTAGACACTTAAACAAGTTTATTATAAATCAATTCCTTTGACAGTATCATAAAAATTAACTAACTTTATTGTTAAGAGAATGCAATAACTAATTCTACTACTCCTATAATTTCTCTTAGTGCAAATTTAATTGAAATTTCTAATCTAAATATTATTAATCAAAACATTTTAACATAAACTTAATGGCAAACATTTTATGATTTTTAATTGGATGATGAATATAATCAAGAACAAATGAATTCAATAATTCTTACTACATTTAGAGTTTTAAATTAAGGAATTTCTATTGTAGCTTCTACCTTTACTTGTACTGATAGTCATTTCTAAGATATTTTTAGCTTAAAAAATGCGATTTTTGAAATTAAAACTCAAGGACATGGAATTGTAAAAATAGCTAACCTTAATGCAAATTCTATTTAAACTGATTTAAAAGAGTAGAGTTCAGGTTGTATAAGTATTGTCTCAACAAATAGTCTTTTAAATCTTTAGCTAAATCAAATATAATTTACAAACATTTTCAATAAAATGAGTTCATCCTTATTTATCATTACACCATCTCTTAAATCTAATTTAATTGTTTTAAATAATGTTATTATGGAGGATTGTATTTCTTTTATGAATACTATTATTTTAGCTTAATTTTAGACAGAAGTAATGTAATAAAGCTTGATTAAAATTAATAATTTAAATATTTATTAAAGTGAGTAATCATGGATAAAATTATTTTCTAAAATTGGTACATTATCATAACCAGAGATCAATAATATAAAGAGTGAAAATAATGCAATGATGTACTTTGAAAATTGTTAAGTTGAAATAAAAAATCTAAAAATGCATGGATTAGCTATTTCTCCAATTTTAAAATTTTAAAATGTTCCTAAATTAAAGCTTATAGATTGTAATCTAATATCTATCTAAAAATTTTATTCATTTAATCTAATACATATAACTTAAACTTTAATAATTGAATCTATTATATCAGTTTAAGGATTAAATATTATGGATACTTTGACATATTAAAAGAAATTAGATGAAATTACTATTTTTTAAGACTTAAATTATTTAATAATTGGGTGTTAAGTCTGGAAAAACAACTCAGTTATATAGGAAATTCTTTTTTCAGATATATTACATAAAATTCAAAATTCTGCCTATGAATCAAATTAAATAATATTTACAAAAAGTATTTCAGATTATAATTCTATTGTTTTTCAAAATATATTCATTTTTAATAATAATGGATCAGATTTTTCAAATGGAATTATCTCATTTGAGGTAGAGAAGTTTAAAATTTTTAAATTAATTAATATTTAATGTTATTAAAATTCTATAAATGAAAATGGTTGTATACATTTTTTGATACCAAATTTTATTAATTAAACTATTAGAATTAAGGATTCTTATTTTATTTAAAACAAGGGGAGTTTTGGAGGTGCAATTTATATTTTGAATGTTAAATTAAAAGTAGTAAATTGTAAAATAATCTCTAATCAAGTAAGTAAATTTGGTGGAGGGATGTTTCTATAATTAAAGGAGGATGACTTTTAGATTAAATCAACTATTATTACTAATAATATAGCTTTAGATGGAGGTGGTATTTATTTTAACAAGGAAGGTAATTTGAAATTTAATAATTTTATATAATCATTCTTACTATTTAATGAAGCCAATTAATTTGGAGATAATTTGGTTGAAACTCCCCATCACTTAGTATTGTCTATAAACGATTAAGAAATGTAATCTAAATAGCTAACAATTAATGAATTAAAGAATGAAATTTTAGTGCTTTAACCTTATAAAATTATTGAATAAGGTTCTCCTCTCATTTAAAACTATTTTATGATCCCAAGTAATTAAGTTATTTTTAAATATCAAATTTATTCGCCTTAAAGCTTGCAGTATTTTTCATTTATAAAAAACTTTGGTCTACTTCTTAAGAATAGTTTTAATGAGTAGCTTTAAAATAATTTTAATTACACTTGTAATTTGACAAATAAGATTTTAAATAAAGAAAATAATTAAATAGTTAGTGAGAAGAGTGAAAATATAACTTTACAATATGATGTCCATCAAGATTACTTTGATTTAGGTTCTCTCTCTTTTATTTTTGACCCTTATACCAAAGAAAAAAGGATTTTATAAATGCAAATTAGTTGTTATTCTACTGATGAATAGAAAAGGTTGAATTATCTGTTAGAGGCAAGAAGCTTAAAATGTTAACTTGGAGAATTTTATGTAAATGGTGGATGCTAGATTTGCTAATCAAGTTAAGGCTTTTATTCTGTAGTATATGATGCCACAAAATGCTCAATTTTTGATAAGACCAGATTTAACAACATTACTGAAAATAATATAGAATTATTATAAGGTTTCTGGAGACCTAATTATTTATCAGATTACATTGAATAATGCTTCAAAAATTTTTAATTTTGTTAAGGTGGTTGGAAATATGGAAATTAAATATGTTCTGAAGGACATATTGGAGCATTATGTGAAGAATGTGACATATATGATGTTAGAGGAAATGGAAAATATTTTAAAAACCAACAAGACTCTGTTTGTATTTCTTGTTTTGGTGTATAGGATAGTATAATACCATTTGTAGCTGCTTCAATATGGTAAAAATAATTTAATAATTAGGTCTTTATTTTCAATTATTATAACCTTATAAAGCATTGAATAATCTAATCAATTATTTAAATCTTTAAAATTAAATTAAAAGTTTAGTAAAATACTATTTAAGCTTGAATAAGGTATTTGTTATCATTTATTATTAGGTCATGAAAGCTTCATCATTAAAATGCTTCTAAATTATATGTGGATTTTCTCTGTTATATTTACATTTAATATATAATTCTCATTTACATTTACATTTATTGATTCAGCTAGCAATACTTCATATTCTATGGCAAACAACTTAGATTGTTATTTATCAGAGAATTAATCAATATAATTGATTTACTCAAAAATTATTACTATGCTTNATTTTTAAATATCAAATTTATTCGCCTTAAAGTCTTTAATATTTCTCATTTATTACAAGTTTTGGTCTACTTCTTAAAAATAGTTTTAATGAGAAACTTTAAAATAATCTTAATTCCACTTGTATTTTGTCAAATCAAGTCTTAAATTTAGAAAATAAATCTATGGTTGGTGAGTAGAGTGAAAAAATAACTATGTAATATGATCTCTAAAAAGATTACTTTGATTTAGGTGAGCTCTCTCTTACTTTTGACCCTTATACCAAAGAAAATAAGATCTTATAAATGCAAATTAGTTGTTATTCCGGTGATAAATAAAAAAGATTGAATTATCTGATTGAAACAAAAAGCTTTAAATGTTAACTTGGAGAATTCTATGTAAATTCTGGATGTTAGATTTGCTAATCAAGTTAAGGTTTTTATTCTGTCGTATATGATGCAACAAAGTGTTCAATTTTTGATAAAACCAGATTTAAAAACATAACTGAAAATAATATAGAATTATTATAAGGTTTTTGGAGACCTTATTATTTATCAGATTATATTGAATAATGTTTTAAAAATTTATAATTTTGTAAAGGGGGATGGGAATATGGAAATTAATTATGTTCTGAAGGACATGTTGGAGCATTATGTGAAGAATGTGATATTTATAATGTAAGAGGAGATGGAAAATATTTTAAAAATCAATAGGATTCTGTTTGTATTTCTTGTTTTGGTGTTTAGGATAGTATTATACCTTTTGTAGCAGCATCAATATGGTAAAAATAATCTAATTATTAGGTCGTTATTATCAATCATTATTACCTTAAGAAGCATTGAATAGTCCAATTAATTATTCAAGAATTTAAAATTAAATTAAAAGTTCAGTAAAATATTATTTAAGCTTGAATAAGGTATTTATAATCATTTAATTTTAGGTCATGAAAGCTTTATTATTAAAATGCTATTAAATTATATGTGGATTTTCTCTGTTATATTTACATTTAATATATAATTCTCATTTACATTTACATTTATTGATTCAGCTAGCAATACTTCATATTCTATGGCAAACAACTTAGATTGTTATTTATCAGAGAATTAATCAATATAATTGATTTACTCAAAAATTATTACTATGCTTGTCCTTATGTTGATCTAATTTATACTAATTATTATTGGATTTCTCATGTATTATATGTTTAAGAAAATGTAATTGAAATATTTTATATTTGACACTATTTCTAATACTATTTTATATCTTTATGTTTCTAATTATGGAGGATTGATTAAGATGTAATAAAATTTAAATTATCTAGGTATTTTTCAATTCTCTCAAAAAGGGATGTTTCAAATTAAAGCTACATTCAAGGAGATGTTTCTTTACTCTTTGGATCAAAAGAACATATTATTTGGATTTTTTCCTTTGTTATTCCAGGAATAGGAATATTTTGTTTAATAATTCCTCTTTTCCTTTATCTATTAATGTTTTTAAAGAAGAATTAACTCGATGATATTAAAATTAGAAAATATTTTTGTTATCTATTTAATGAATATGAAAATGATTGCTATTTTTGGGAACAAATAAAAATAATTAAAAAAACTATTATGATTCTCATATTAACATATTTTGAAACATATATTCTCTTAAAAGCATCATTGTTGGGATTGTGTCTTCTTTTTTATTAATTATTAGCAGTTAAAAATAAACCCTTTATACTTTAAAATTTAAATCATTTAGATTTATTTTCAGGCTAAATTTGTTCAATCACAATATTTCTTGCTGCTGCTAAATACGTAGCAGAACAAGAAAATAATTAATTTTCATCAGTAGCACTTTAAACCTTTATTGTTCTCCTTTGCTTACGATTAACTTATCCTTTTATTTTGAGCATATTAAGAGTTTATTACAAAAAGTACTTTGGCTTAATCATTAATTATTTACATTTAATTTCAAACAAAATCTCTTAAGATTCAAAGTTAACCTTTAAGTTATAGATGATTAAGCAAAATTAGAGTGAAAGAGAGAAGAAATAGAAAAAATTGATTAACAAACTAAAATAACATCTTCTGAAAGTTTCCTAAGCCTAAATTTCAACCAAAAAGTATTAAAATGTTTTATTTAGAAAAATTCTAAGTGGAAGCCAAAATTCATAAATTTCTAGAAATGAGTTTAACTACTTTGCGAAACTGAATACTGAATGAGTAAGATAATTTTTATTCTATTAAAAATCTCAAACAAAAAAAAAATTCCATAATTGTTGAATAAAATAATAAACAATTATATATTTATATTTTTTATATATATAAACATTCTTTCTTCTTTTTAACTTTACAAGAAACCAGATGAATTACTTGCTATATAACTAAAGCTCTTAAGGGATAAAGATATAATAATAAAGGGTAGGGATGTTTATAGAATGAATGATAGTGAAAATGATATTTTCTCAATTATAGTATGCTAATATAGGTTAAAGTTTCATTTCAGCAAATAAAGGATATATATATTCCTGATATTGTTACCTTTCAACAATAAATTCTAATTAAATGATTCATAAATGGGTATTCTAGCTTTTTCCTAAAGTCCATTTAATCATTTATATTTATATAATCCACAATAGAACCATATATTGATAAATATATTTACAAATTCAAAGCAAATGATTAATCAGAGAGTTTACCAATTCATATAAGAAAATTTTGAATGAGTTTCAATGTTCTCAAACCAAAAATGAAATATAATCAAGATATTATTGTTTTAAAGACAAAAAATAATCAAAATAAATACAAGGTTTCTAATTAGAATTAGTTTTGGAAATTATTTAATTAATAATATTAATTATATTTGAGGAACTTTTGAGAGATTAATTCATATTAGAGATCAAAAAATTTCTCAAGGTTATTATTAATTGATAATATCTAAAATTTCTTTAAGAATTTATCAAATATAACCACTCACAGTGTAATAAGTACAATTAACATGAGGATTGATATTCTCTTGCAATGAAAATGCCCTATATTTTAAATGAAAAATAATTCTAATTAAAATATTGAAAGTTAAGATTATTTTTAGATTTTAAGATTTAATGATAATTCATTTCCTTTAGTTGAATTTAAAATAGCTTAAGGAGATGGGTTTGTAGAAGAATTAATGATAGAAGTATTACATCATTAAGATCTAATTATGAATTGATTTCTGATCCTGGATATGATTGTGAAAGGGATCGAAGATTCAAATTAATCTATTTGTTTAATGAATTTAATTTCTTTTAAGCTAATGAAGCCTTAGATATTGCTAAATAAGCACCAGGTTATGAAATATCAACTAAATATCAATGGGGTAATATATATATATTATCTATTTTATTATAGCCTTATATGGAAGACATTCTATCAATTTTACTTTAAATTGTAGATAATATTAAGAAAAGAATTTATGGATTCTGCCGACTCATTTTAAGATATTGAAAGTTAATAATTAATTTTAATGATAATCTCAATAGTTTGTGTGTTTGTTTTTATTCTGATGTTACTTATAAATTGTTGCACAATATGTGGAGTAGATTTACCTTGTATAAAAGGAAAAGGAACACAAGAGTCGAATATCTTTATACATTTTAAAATCGAAGAAGAAATAGAAATTAAGGCAATATTTGTAATACAAAAATAAGATAATGATGTTCTATGTTAAATACCCTTAATTATGGCAAAGAAATGAGTTTCCTCATTTTGATTAGCAGCAGTATTGTCAATCATAACACCTATTGGATTGAATTTGAAGAACATAACTTGGAAACATGGATTGATCAGCAATATTATATTAATCTTAATATTTATATTTTAATGTGATAGTCTTTACTAGATAATTAAATATAAAAGAAACTCAATTTAATAAGAAAAATTTAAGAAATCTTTTTCAAACATAAAATTATATATCATTATACTTGAGTTAAAATTAATTAAATGGTTTTTTACTGATTAATGAAAGTGACAGCAATATAATTATTTAGTCTACTTTATTATTATCAGATGATTTGATTAAACTTAAAATGTCTATTAATATAATAAATCATTAATTTAGTATATTGACATTACAAGTATATGACAATTTATAATATTATAGATTATAAAGTATTTACTAACACTTTCTATAATATAATTAGTCCAATTAGATGTTTAAGGCATGTCTAATAAGGCTGCAAATTCTAAAATGACTAGATATTCATTATATTAGTAATTTATTATATATTTATTTAATTAATTATTACATCTTTTCAAGAATTAATCAGAAAAATAAATCTTATGATTTATCAAATATAATTTAAAAGAGCATTTCCATTAATATTAATTCATGTAATTCGATAACTTATTTGGTTATGAAGAATAATAATAATAGTCATAATTACAGCTATAATTAGTTGATAATTTATAGGAGCAATTTAAATAATTAAAGCCTTAAAATATTTTAAGTATGAACTTAAAATGTAGTAAAAAGTAAAGGAATAAGATAATTTAATTTAAATAATAAATGTGTCTCAAAAAACCCAAGTCAAGAAGTGAAATCGAAATAAAGAATTAAATGACAAAGTAATAGAAAAACTCAAATAATGGTCCTAATGCTCAAGAAGAAAATTCATTGTTAACATTATTCTTAATTGAATAATAGAATGAAGCCCTAAAAGATATACTCTCAAAAGTTGACTAAATTATAACAACATAAAAATAATCATTTAATCAAAATAAATAATAGACTTAAAATGAAGAGAAAAATTTAGAGTATTTGTAAAATTGGTTGGTTAGTTGTTTAAAATAATTTAAGTAACTTGAATCCTTTTATCCTGAATAATTTATTAAAAAATAAATTGATTAATCTAATTTGAGTTTGAAATTAGATTAAAAAGAAAATGGCATATTTTTTTTTTTAGATACTCAGATTTCCCTTCCAGGAATTAAGTTTTCTGAAATTTCTAAAAATAAAACTATCAAATTAGACAAATTTAGAACATCTGCATCCTCAAAGTTTTATGGAATTGCTGTTTGTGAATAAAGTTTAAGTTAAGAAGGGATATCAAAATTTGCATTTAAAATTAATAAAATAGATGGAAACATTGCAATTGGTGTTTGTAATAAAGATAAACTAGGTCAACAAAATTTTATTAATAATAATTTCTAAAATACTTAAGGGTATTCTATTTATTAAATAATTATTAGTCTATATCTACTTTAAAATTATGGAGGTATGTATTCTAATTAAGAAATTGGAATATTGTAAGGATAACCTTTTGAATTCCAAGAATCAAATATCATTATAGTTATTGTTAATTTCTAACAAAAGACTATAAAATGGAAAAAATTTAATCATTAATCTGAATTTGTAAGATTTTCATCCTAAATTTTAGATGATTAATTTTGATATTAAATATGACTCATAACCCTGTGTATTGTTTTCAAAATTATCATCATTTAACAAAATATCCAAAGTATCAATTGTGAACCCAAAAACATTGAGAATTATAGATGGTTGTACATATATTTGAAATTATTGAATATCTATAATATTGAGAATGAACAAATTAAATTATAAATTTATATGAAATCTATAAAGATTAATTAAATACTCTTAATAAATTATTAATCAATTTATTTAATCCCTTATCGTAATTTATATTCAATTAATATATAATTATTTATCAACAAACTAATGAAAAATACTTTAATGATATATTAGAATGGAATAGATATTTATAATAAAGTTTAAGTGATTAAAATTAAATAAAATTATTCTAATATAGTAAAATTTGAAGCTTATTTACTCTTTTAGTTAGTAGATAATAAGGAGATACTTAAATGAATATTTCTGCAATTTTTTTATATCTAATTTATTTTTTTACTATATAAGCAGATTTTATATAAAATTATTCTAATTTTCAAATATTTGTTATTATTTAAGTATATCTTATTAAAAAATGATTATGTTATATTTTTAGATGTATTGATATCATTTAGATAAGTGTTTAGATTGTTTGTTGATAAAATTATAAGATTGATTTTATGATATTTATTGTCTTGATATGTATAAATTTCTGATAATATGAGTAATTTTTCTATGTATATATTCTCATTGTAGTTTTTATGTATTTGAAAGTATTAATAAAAAAAATTGAAAACATTAAGTCAAAAGGAAATAAATTAAGATTATTTGGGGTGTTTAAAATCAAGGATAGAAAAGATAAATGAAAAAAATCTTAGGTTGATAATTGTATGATTCATTTTGATAAAAATTATCAATAAATTGTTCAAGAAAATATAAAATCTCTAAGTATTTTCATAGAGAAATTAAGCAAATTTTATATTGTAAATTAAAATATATAACTAAGTTTAAGTAATCTTTTAATATTTAGTAGAAGATGCTTGTTAAAGAAAATTAGATACCTTAATGATCAATTTTACTATTTATTAATCAACTTTAATAATCAACTTTTTTCAAAAGTAATTATATAAAAATTTTTAATGGGTAATGGTATTTGCCACATTGGAGAAGTGAATGGATAAGAAATTAAACGTTCCTAAGATAAAATCTAAGTTAATCATATAATAGAACTTCCTAATTCATTTGCTTAAAGTCCTTCAAAACCAACAATAGAAACATAAAACCCAACAATCAGTTTAAATTAAGATGATTGCTACGATATCCTTTTAACAAGTTCTTTAGATATGGTTCATTTAGAACAAGATGTGACATCTTTAAAAAACTATGACTATAAAGAAAAATGTAAGATAATTACATTGCCAATATTGTCTGAATTTGCAAATGGTTAATTGAATATAGAAAATGTAACTGAGCTGTAGCTTCCTAATAGCTCGACGTTTGAACCAAAGCCTATTTTAAAAATATGTGAATAATTAAAGAGTAATCAAAGTAAAAATAAAGTAAGATTTAATGATAATGATTGAAAGGTTGAATTAAATATGTTTATTATAATTGATTTACTTCTTGATGCCTATCAAAAATATAATGAATTTTGCAATTTATTAAAAAATTATAATTTTAATTTTTTCTTTGTTTCAAGAAGAGAAAATAAGAAAAATAAGATGATAGAATTTATTGAAATAATTCTTCTTCAATTGTTTTCATAACTAATTAAAACAAAAAAAATTTATAACTTTTTTTATATATCCATATCATTATAGGTAATTGTAAAGCATTTATAATTGAACAAAAGCATCGTTAAATTGATCTTGCTTTAAATAGAGCTATTATTTCAAAATGGATGCTTTTTATATGAACTATTGTTGCCAAAAAGGTGATTTTTGTTAGGAAACTCTTTGTTAAATGGAAACAAAAAGAGAGTCAAAGATGTTAGGTTACTTTTTCAAATGACTATATAAGATTTTCCCGATTTCAGAGACTCTTTGATTATATATATAGGCAGCTATTAATAGATCCTCCAAAATGAATTGAATAAGTACCTAAATGTATTTAAATATATTAAAATAATACATAATGTTTATTTAAGATATCTGGTTTTTCTTTAGCAATTTCAAATATTTTAATTGCCAAAGAGAAAGTCTATTTTTCTTAGATTCTAATGGCTTTATTAGCAAATTCTAGTATTAAATGTGAATCATTTGGATTCATTCTGTTATTTGTTAATTCAGATTCAACAAGCCATTCGCAAACCCTATATAATGGTTCCATTTTATGAATGAGAACATTAAGATCGTTCAAATTTATAAGATGCAAGAGTTTATAAATTAATTGTAGGATTTATTCTTTGACTTTGACTTTACTTGTTAAGCATTGTCTCATATATTTAAAATTGACAAATAATTTAAGTAATTTTCTTATAGGTCTATAATAAACTTAGTAAATTTTTTTTTCACTTTTTTCTCCAAGTTATCTTTCTTAATTAAAATCATTATTATTTCTGGTTAACCAATCTATGTAATAATGTGATAAATTATAGATCCATTCATAGATTTGGTCAACAATTTCGCTACGTAAAGATTTGACAGAATCCATGCTTATCATTTTTCTGGTGAATACTAGAAGTGTGATAGAGGTATCAGAAATAGGACTCAATTATAAAAATTACTTGAATTAATTAAACCTCTCTTATTCCCACATCATTGTCATAATTTATTTATATGAGAATCTACCATTTGCATTTAATAAACTTTTGAAAATATACATAATTGATTAAATGTCTTATAAATTAGTCACTAAACTATTTAATCCCACTAAGAATTTATTAAGCAAATTATCACAGTCCTCAGAATTATAAAATGCTTCATTTTAAGCATTATAAATGCTGCATTTAATACTATAATAGAGTTCTTATAATTCTGTGTCTTAAATCAATTAGAAATGGTCAAAAATACTCAAACAATCAGTTGGTATCATAATACAATAATTAAAAATTGATATTTAGTTACATAAAATTTACAACAATTAAAATATTAAAAATAATGTTCCAATCATTACTCTATCAATTCAAATTGAGGTTTAGAATGATCAATCCATGTAAAGAAAACAATAGAAATTTTAGTTGACATTAAATAAGAATTCAAATTTTTGAACAATACTCAACAATAATGTACATTGCATTCTAAAGAATAATTGAATTAATCGACTTATCTAATGAGATTTGGTAATAATAAGAAATGTTTATAATTAGCAATTTCACAATAAGATCAATGTTTGGGTACACGTATAGGATAGTATATTTCACTAAATGATCCTAAATTTGATATCAATACTACGAGATATTACTGTCCTATTTCAAGGATTGATGATGTTGGAATGTTTGATTTATTGGTCCATGCCATATATGCAGAGAATAAAAACTTTTCCACTCATATTACTACATTAAATGTAAAATTTGCATTAATTATAGGAAGGACATATTCTTAACATAAATGGACCTTTTACTAATTACCTTTATCATGGATATGGCCATATCGAAGTTCCTAAATATAATATAAATTCAAATTACCAATATATTGGTATAATTGCAGAATCTTCAGCAATTGCAGCTTTCTTCTAAGTTGATTTTCTATTTTATGATAGTTAATTGAAGGCATAGCTACAAATGGTGATAATACACATATTGGTCTACTCTATGTAGCAGATACACTTGAAGAATTAGTTTTGATGGAAGAATTGATTTGGTATATGGAGGAGAAAAAAATAAATGCTACATTCATGTTAAGAAGTGAAAAAGATCCTATTAATAAGTTATTTAGTGGTCCAAAGGGTTAGATGAAATCTGTACATTTATAATAATACTTACCATAACCAAATGATCAAACTTTAATCCTCGTATGTGGCAGTAGGTATTAATTATTGAGATTTTTTAAGGGCATTTAAAAAAGAAGCAAAATAATAATTAGAATACATTAACCACCAAAATATAGCTATAATTTGATGATATATTATTAAATGTTATATTATTAATTTTATATTAAATTATCAAGATATTTATCAAATTAATCTTATTTAATATATGTTAAAATATTTATATCTAATTTATTAACAATTTTATTCATATATTATTTTATTGATAAAAGATTTAACCATACGTTAAAGGAATGTCACAGAAGACCATAAATAATGAAAGAGTCAGATAATATTAAAAAGTACACCTAACCTAAAAGTAGTAATTACTACATTTAGTTTTTAAAAAGTAGTATTCAATAAAATCTGTACATACTAATATATTTATATAGGCTTCTATGATAATAAACATTAAATATGCTACTGCCAAATCGATAATCTCAAAAATTCGAAAATCCAAAATAAAACAATACACATCCCTCAACAAAAAATCAGGGCAGTGCTATTTTAAAAAAGTTGAATTCTTCAAAACATAATTAAAAATCAAATCTTTAGTAGCAGGTTCTTTGATCAATGAGTGTACTTATTATTTATATTGAATATCTTTATGTTATATTGATATATTTATTTGGTTTATTTTTGGAGGATTTTGCTGCAAGTAAATTACATAGTATATATTTTGAATATAATATAAATATCAATATCATTTAAAATTCACTTCCATTATTGTATTATTTGTTTTCAACATCATATTTTCAGTTAGTATTTATTCATCTCTTAAATAAAGCCAAGTTCCATTTGTTGATGATTTTCCTTCAATTCCATCAATAATTTTCCAATATCCATCAAAAAGAATTGTACATTAATATTTAGATAAAAGAACATCATCATAATATCTAATCAAACAATCTATATTTCTGCCTATGGTCACAGGCAAATAATTTTTAGATCCTAAGATGTAAACATCATCTTTTGCAGTACCTCCATAGAGTTGAATTCTAAGGTACCATTAATCTCTATCTAAAGATAAAAAGTATTATCTATCGCAAGGGTATCCACTGATAATGAATTCCTTCACATCATATAAATTATTAAAGGAAGGAAATTTTATTAAATCTTAACCATAACATATTTATGTTGTAAAATACATCTATCCAAATGTTATTAGGGTATTATTTTACAATTTAATTTCATCTGTCTTGTAAAAACAACCAAATCCAATTCCTAAATCTTTGATTTTAAAGTTTTAGGTTTTTTAATCATATTTGATATAGAAATGTTAACCTCTATTTTTCTTATTCAATTTAGTATCAACAGATGGGATTTTAAAATGATTAATTTAATATCCCCCTTTTTTGTTTTTGTATTTACAACCAAAATAAATTACATTTTATTAAGGATTTGGTTGGAACTCGAAAAGTTGATTTTCTTCTAAAGTTGCAGATGCTATTATTCTTAGAACTAAAGTTGGTGTTTTTCCTTATTAATCTAGATGTGAGAATGAAGATATTTTGTTGGTTTATTAAAGATCTATCTAATGTGATTATGGATGCTTTTTTTCTGTTAATTAATCATTTGCATTAGTATTGATAGCATCAAAGTGAGAAATGGTTTATTAATGATTTATGGAATTATCATAATTGTTAGTATTTAAATGTTAAGGTGAATCAGTGCAATTGCAAGCATCTTTGGAAATTTATTCTCCCATAATGAATAAAATATAATATTTAGTATGGTTAGGAAATTGATATATAGTTCAGAATAGTAATAAAAAGAGAAATAAAATATTGATATTAATTTTATTCTAAAAGAATGTTATAAATACCTATAAATAATAGAACACCAGGATAAAATTTTAGTTTTAACTAATTTGCATCTGCACCTAATTCTCCAGAAAGAAATACACCTAACACTATCAAAGATTATATAAAATATAGATAAAGAAATTTAATTGATTTTGTAAAAAGTCGATTATAGAGTCGACAAAATAGTCCAAAAAACCTTTTTAAGGTAGATCTGTTATAGTTTGCAAAAAAGAAATATGATAGTATGCCAAGTCCTATAATAGGGGAAATTAAATTTTTATCAACTTAAAGTTCAATAGGAGATTCAATTTAGATTGTAAATGGTTAGGGAATGACAGATGATACATTATTTGATGAAATAATTGATTTGGAGAATGCTATAAATTAGAATGGAGTAGAGAAAAAATTGATGGGATCACAGAAACAAATAAATCATTCAATAATGAAAAAAGAAATAACTGAAGATGGTTAAATAAAGATTAATCAATACACAATACTATAGGAACTTGGAAAAGGTTCATTCGGTAAAGTTAAATTAGCAAAAGATAACCATAGAAAATATGTATAAAAATAAGTAATTATGAAATTAGGCTGTAAAAATATGCGATAGAAAGAAATTAAAATTAAAGTTACTTTCAAGTAAAATGGATGCTTATTCATTATTGGATAAAGAGATAGCTATAATGAAGAAAGTAGATCATGAAAATATTGTATAATTGTATGAAGTTATTGAAAATCCAAATAATGATAAATTATA